TATCCTAACGATGAGTTTTATCAGTTATGATAACACTAAATACAATGTCATGCGATAGCCGGATTAGCTGATAAATAGCGAACCAATGTTACGGACGTAAGAATTTAAAGCAGCGAAAATTCTCGGTTAAGGCGATAAATTAAACGCTATAGAAGCATTTTATCAGAAACGCACACGGATTATATTTTTATTTAGCATTGTATCGAGCATTTCCACTTCCGACTCGATTGGAGTCGCAAGGCGCGAGGGGATATTGCAGGTCAATGTACTAACAGTGAAGCCTTCAGTAACGTCAAACAAATAGCACCCACTTATAGAGACAAGTCGATTCGATATGTTCCGCGACATAGTGCACAACTTAATCTATAATTATGTTTTTAATGCGACAGTTTATTACTGACTATTATTATACCTACGATATATAATGTCAGGTTTGACTAGAACCAGAAAAGTATATGGGATTACGTCGTTTTTATGCAGTTTGAAGCGTAAATATTTGCATATTGCTAATTGAAACTATCAAAATATTTCATGAAAAGGAATAAAAGCGGTAGCAATTTTTAAAAATCTCAGCGAAGTCCTTTTTCATGATTACATGTGCAACATACGAACGCTGAAAAGCAGGAGTGGGTACGTAATCAAACAGTCGCGAATATAAGCCCGGCCTGAGAGGTTTTAAACAACGCCACAATAATTCCTGAACATTCTCCAGCCTTCGCGGCTCTAATTAGCGCTGCCGTCTGTTCGTCTGCGGCTCTCTTTCGTCAACGCCGGACCGATTCATAAAATTTCCTTAATTACCTATTGTGTTGAATCGAGTAAGTGATCGGGTACTTGTACCACTTAAGGGTGAGAAATATATCGATAAAAGTAAAACCCACGCGTTATATTTCTGGAAAGATACCTTTAAAAGGTCAGAAGGTCTTGTTTGCGAAAAACAAAAATATGATCTTTAGCACTGTCTGTACTTTACGCGGGTAGTACACAATTAAATAAAACACACATTTACACCACCTACCACGGACGTATGGCGCTAGAGTAGAAGTTTTTTCTTTGACAGTAGGGACACCCTCCCTGTGCCCCACGGCTACTGAAAAGCATCCGAAACGTCGGGCCGTATTTAAAATAAATTGTTAATAAGTTAACAAACATATTTCGCAGTTTTAACAGTTAAAAGTGCTTCATTTAAAGAATAACGTAAAATAAGCATTAACATCTACTTTCAACAAAGTAATGACTAATTTCCTAGCTAAAACCGACGTGGAGGGAGATTAATGAGCGATCACCGTGCAGTGCTCAACGTAATTACAAAGTAGACGACTGTACAATAACAGCAAACATGTCAAAAGCATAGCCAAGTTTCCTCACGACAATTAAGAGCGGACATTGGCATACGCAACCACTGTAACAAATGCACGATACTAACCCTTAATAGCAACACATTATCTGACTACTGAGACTTATTCATATCTTTCTAGACTTTATTCGCATTTTTACGAGAGTGGGAAAACGCTTATTAATGACAGAATGGCTGTCTATTTTGATTAACACCAGTTTATAAATGAAACTACGCAACAACATACAATCAAATATTTAAACATTATTTTGTCACTACTATTATAAATTAAAAAGTTGTGGTCTATTGTAGGTCCTAGTGACTGTTTAATTTCTGGAATAAATTCAAATATGATTTGAAGAAATTATTGTTTAACAAAATTATCAAGAGGAAAAACAATCAAAGTCACGTTTACCACCACGTTATTTCGCTCAAAATATTTAAGAAACACCATATTTATATCCGCAACAAAGTAGCGTCAAAAAGATCAAAGATGTGTTTTGGCAAACAAAGGAAAGTTTTCCGAGAATTTATCGTTTCCTTATTATAAGGTTTTCTGACAACAATTGCGAGGCAATCACGGTAGACAACGCGTGGATGAAATGTTGAAATTTATGAGTACTTTGTAAATGGTGCATTAAAAATATATGAAAAAAAAAATACATCGTTGAAAGAAATAATGTCAGTAATTTTGTTTATGAAGTATGTTTGTATTCTTTCACCTTTAATACATTGTATTATTGACATCTAAGTTCCACCACCCTCATATGTGGATACAGCTCCCTTGCAGGTTATATGCGGGTAGTTGACACGTGCCATTGAATTTTTGTTTCTCCTCCATCGCAGGAACAAAGACAACAAAACATGGGGTATGTTGGATTCAAAGTTTCTGACAATATGGGAAATAATTCTAGCACAATCTACTGATTTATCTTCACAATGGATCTAGGGAATCGTGTTCATTTCGAGCTACGAGTAACAATTCGAAAAATGCGTGTTCTAAAACCGCTCGACTTTCTACGAGATGAAGTTGTTAGTTGCAGCGTTATGTAACAATCGAGCACTAACAGTATTTTCTATCTGAACGCGCTCTACCATTTGTTTCGTGTCAACTTTATACCGCAAGATATAACCTTGACATGATAAACTCATCGACTTAGCATCTACTGCATTCACGTCGATGCTCATAAAGCAAAACTTCAATTTTGTAGACAATAGCTTTCGTATATTAGTATTCGTCTAAAATTTGAAACGATACATTAAGTAAGAGACATGGCAGTGCGTAAAAAAATGGTTACCGGCGGTATAAACAAAACAGTATAGGAACGCTCTTAAAAATACGATTTTACAGTCATTTATTATTTCTTTCTCTCCTTGACTTGTGATCGCTGTATTTATAATTCCATCGCCATTGTTAGAAACTTTTGTTCATTTAGTACACCAGTCAAATGCCAGATAATGGTCTTTAGCGCGTTGGAATAAAACCTAAATTGCACTAAACAGTACGTATCACAAGTGCGGATGTAGTAATTCCATCCATTTTATAATCTCTTTAGCGTTGTAATTGGTTAAATTGCAAGTGTTCTGTTCGGTTCGACGATATAAGAAACTCCATCAGTTTAGTTTAATTACTAACAACTTTTTTCACTCCTTTCGCATCTTCAGATTTCTACCTCATTATAGGGATGTGTTGATGTTTTCTCTTTAATAATGAAGAGTTATTTTCTTCAACTTCATTCACTACATTCATTTTTTTAAGTTTATCATTGCAACCTCGCAACTTCTCTATATTGTGGTAACAGTAGAAAATATAAACCTCCCCATTGCATCGACCACCCAGCACTGTCTGTATTCGGCATACGTTTTAAACTATTTTTATTTCCTTGGGCGAAATTCCGCCGCACTGAAATATAGAACAAAAATATTGAGACCACGGAGCTGTTTCAAGAATATAAACTGAACGTTCAGGATTATCTGCTTTTCCGCTTGTAAGAGGCTCCACACGAGTGCCGATATGATATGAGTAACAATCTGTGGCTTTTCCTTCGAAACCGTTTTATTTAAGTCCTTTATGCTTTCATCAGATGTATCCCGTATTTCTGTTATTAGTTTTTACGAAACATTTTAAAGCTCAGTCATTTTAAATCTGGCTTCAAAGTGTAACAAGTGAGAAGATCTAGCGTAAATAGGTCCAATATACAGCAAATAATGTTATGTAGCAGCAGGCAATTTCATTTGCGACGTGACAAGAATGCTCTTTGAAGGCGGCTTGTCACACAGGTACAGAAATATTGTGAACTGACAATTCTTGTTATATTTGGAAACTTTATTATTTTTTACATGTGATTGTGCACATGAAGGCACTATATAGTTTAAAAATAATAAAAAAAATTTCGACTCGGGCAGGACTTGAACCGCCATCGTCAGCCTTCCGTGAGTTCAGAGCAAGAGCACGGAACGCTGACGATGTCGGTTCAAGTCCTGCCCGAGTCGATTTTTTTTTTATTTATTTTCAATTTCAAGTGTTTCATTTAAAAGGGTAAACTAATATATAGTGCGTTTTAAACCGTTAAAGTGTTTCATTTAAAAGGGTAATACCCGCGTAAACTACAGACAGTATTTAATTAATATTTCTTCTTTGACTCTACGTCTGTAAAGTCACTCCCAATTTGAATGCATTACTATATTCTGCGAATTACATGATCATACTAGAAGGCGTATTGTACACGTGTTATCTAGAATCTAGATCAACGCGTGCTCTATTTATGCGGTATCATTAAGGTGAGTGGCTCAGCACCAAGAAACAAGGAGGTTGACTTGCTTTATCAATTCAGCTGTTACATAGTTCGTATATAGCGGAAACTCGTACTGAAGCTGTGTGCAATTTATATATGGGAAACGGTAGAGCAAGATTTGTATCTACCGATTTGGTGTACTATACTTGGTACTATACTATAATTTGGTATATAGTTACGCAATTATAAAATATCCCATGATATATACATTTAATTGATGATCTTTAGTTATGTTGTTCACTTTTGAAAATCGGTTTTTGTTTTTACAATTTTATTTTAATTAATTCATATCAACAATCCCGTCATTAATCTCAACCACGTTGTCATCAAATATTCTACGAAACTCTGGCACTGTTCACGGAAATCTACTTACAAATGTATATTCACATCAAAATTCAGAAAGTGTGCGCTCAGCGCTATCCATTTATAACTTATATTGGAGTCGTGAGGCGGCAGATATCAAAAGAAACGAAATAATATGTGCCACCTGACCTCAGTATGAAGTACGAACGATTACAAAACTTTGTTAACCTACGATCAATATAAACATAATTAATTACAAGTCATTATATATAAGAGTAGATGCGCCTCGCGGTGTTAAGAAATTAAAAAGTTTCAACCAAATCGCAAGCATTCACACAATTCAAATAATTCTAATGGAACAATTATTTTAAAAAAATAGTTAATGTATTACTAGCGCACTTCTTATTTATAGGCAAGCAGTTGATCCGACTATTGTGCCCTGCTCGGCTCGGAAACAATTTCCCGGGCGTTGAATCTGGTACCTACCGCGCTTAACGCAAGGCGACACGTTTAACCAGCACTATGCCCCAAGTGAAACGGTATGTTGAAAGGAGAAGTACTCTTACCCGGCGGTTCCGTTCAGCGCGTTGACCAACCCTGGCCTCTCATAGCACATATGCATACCAGCTGCCTCTGCCACTTTATCACCACCGAACGAAATTGTTGCGAATTAATGATACACTCTATCCACAATTATCCGTTACCGGCACTCGTTGAAACACAATATTTTAATCAACGCCGCGTACGAACATTTTCTTCGGTTCGCGTTCAATACGCAATCCGCGTTGTGAAACAAATTTTCAATTAGACACGAGAACTGCAAAGCAATCGTACCGGTGTTTCATTGTTAATTCGCGCCATGAGTGCACTCGATCGCTGCTTCCTCAATCGCGATTGTCTTTAAAGTTTAAACCCTTTACTTGAAGCAATTAAAGTTTTCGCAAACCGTAAAATAAGGATCAATTACCGGCTAGAAGCTTTATAATTTTATTATTCAACTTCTCGACAGGTAAAAGGGAAGACGCTTTCATTTAATTTTCACCATCTTTCCTATTATATTACAGACTTTGAAAACTTTATGAAAGGAAGTGATTTCTCGCAAATACGACACTAAATGGACAGCATTGGGAAATTTATTGGATTTGGAGATTAATTACTAATGATTGGGGGGGGGGGGTAATTTAAATCATGCGTTGTTTTAAACATCAACTGTACTACAGTTGCATTAATAAACTTTCAGTGACGTTAAAAAATCTTATAAGCCCCCCCCTTAGTTAAAAACACTAAACATGAGTTTAGTTGTTTTAAGCCGTGTGACTAACTAAAAACTTTCCAAGATTAACATACATACTATAGATATGTTATACAACTATTAAGATATCTTTAGATGTGCGGGTTTTAGGTGCATCTTGACAAATGTTTCAAGGTAAACTGTCAGTGGTCGCAAATTTTTCTGTTTGAGGCAAAATCTTGTTTGGCCCACTTTTCAAACACATTACCCTACTTTAATGTCGAGGTCGAAATCATTTCGTGTGTCTGATAATTATTTACTCGTTTATTATAAACAGTGATAATTTTTAATTGGATGTCTGCACTTCTCAAAAGCTTAAGGAAGCATAAATTTGAATTATGTACACAAAGAAAATCATAACTAGCGGCGGAGTCAATAAAAATAGCGATTGACTGGGGAAAAGAAACATTCAGGAAATTAATCAAGATCTTTGTGAACGTTCAAGTGCGAATAAAGAAGGAAAATATAAAAATAAACTTATGATAACAGGCTTTGACTCATCAAATCGATTACATAATTGCGAAGTTGTTCACTTAAATATATTTTGTGTTTTTAGATTTGGCCAATTAACTTTGAAATCATAAAATGCCATATTAATCAAATTATAAGGAAAATTCAATCAGTTTTGTTTTTATTCCTTCTACAAGTCATTAGAACAAAATCTACATTTAAAACAAAGTAGAATGTAAATAACGCCAGACCTGATAAGAAAAACCTTCATCTTCGAGTTGATTGCTGATAATTACATCCACATTATAAGTGCTTATTGCTTACACATTAACGATAGTGAACAATTAGAGCAAGAATAGTAAATATCAAATTAGGTCGAAGTAACTTTGGTAAGGATAAAGCGATCAAAAGTGGAATTCAATTCTTTTGAGCTAATAGCCATTTATATAATTGGTTTGTCATAATTCCCAGTTTCAGCGATCGAGCGTCACGCATGAGTCAACATCGTGGACACCGTGTCCGTTGCTAACAAAAAGGAAAAATTACGCCAGCACTACTCCATCCACGGATCCAGCACTGCAATCCAAATGTTCGTCACAGATTTCACTGCGACGGCGCTTCGGGCGGGTTGACAACATGCGCGCATTCCGAGTCACGTCACGTTCGGCCGCGTCCGTGCGAAAACCCGCCAAAAGTGAGCGTTCGAACCTCGGCGCAGACAACGGACGTCCGTACGTCGTGCGGTGTCGTGCTCGACTAGCGAGCGAGGCGCGAGGCGGGGAGGACCGCGGGTGCGACGTTCGCCATTCGCAGGTTATCGCCGACTACAGATAATGATGTCAAAAGTGGATCAGACTAATGTTCTCTATTATGTTATAAACGTTCCGAATGTTGCATCGATTCCTTGCCTCTTTGTAAAAGATATCTCATCTGCTACAATGATAAGTGATATTCTAATATTCGATTAAGCGAGAATTTCACGAGATTTCGCCAGTCAGTGTCGTTATTGGAGAGTTTGATGTGTCAATGGCGGCCATTATTCTTATTGAGGTGATAATGATTACAAGGTACAAATACGGAATAGAAAATGAAAGATTTGTTAAAGATTGTTGTAACTGTAATGTTTGTCTTGAAATCTATATCATCAGAATGAGAAGATGTATCTGAACCACTAATTGAAATAAGTTTGGCGCCCACCTCGGCATCGCTCTCGGTTCTGTTTACGACAAACAAAAACTCACCTTAAGTTGTAACCCCGCGGCAATAAATCGCTGCGTCCGAAATGAATTCTCAGTTTGATCGAATTTCGTCGATCCCTCCCATGTCCCTCCCATGACCTACCGAATATGCGCCGTATCCTAAGAGCGCTTAAGTATTGAAACCTCTGCTCGTTCGCGTCGATGACAACGTTTTGTTTTCTTGCACATTTCCCAAAAGTCCGTTCGACTTCCTTATTTCCCACGGAGTAGGGTTCAGATTTTGCGGGCGTCTGCGTTCGCCCGCTTACATTTCCTTTTTGGAAGGTTTTGTGTGGTTGTATATTTTGGTTGGATTAAGAAACGGGCTCCGTTTGATGAATGTATCAGCTCGCTGAGGTTTTGCGGCGAATGTTGTGAAAGAGCCGTGACGCTGAAGTGGGAAAGTATGTTTTTTCCGCTTATTGAGCTCAGCCATAAACACGGCTAAGCCTCGAGTTCTCTTACTTTAATCTGTAAGTCTCTGCTAAAAGGGCACCATCAATTAGCGTAACTCGTTTTTAAATTACTCCGTTAGCTTAAGACCAGTGTATTAGTGCTGCAAATATTATATAACTCTTAAGTTCAAAGGATTCCTGTATTCCAGTTAATTTTAGAAATGACGTCGTTTTCGTATACATTGGAATTAGTGATGTATTTAATAAAACAGAGGCTTGACGATGTAAACAACGCAGTTTAAAGTTATAAACATATCGCTTGTCGTAAAATAAAATACTCGAAAGGTGAAAGGTCTACTGAACTCAAATGATTTGAATGTATCGAATGGAAACAAATCTATCAATAGATGTTTCGTTAACCATAAAGTCAATTATTTTAAATAGCTAATACGCTGTGAGTTGTGACCCAAATTTCACAACAAGCGGAGCTACGTCGCGGCCGTAACGGAAATAGGCGTATAATCCCAGGGGGAGGGGGGAGAGATATAGGACCGACAGGGGATCACGGCGGGCACTCTCCACCGAGTGAGGCTTCACGTGATAATTTATTAGAACTATTGATTTAATTGCAACAATCCTTGAGAGGATATGGACTGGTGGACATTATGAAAATAGATCGGTTTAGACTAGATACATAGTTAAAAGATTCTAACATAAAAGTAGTTTGTTTAATATACTTTAAACCATTTATATTTTGTATATACTCCTTACTAATATACTATAGAATTAATAAAAACACATTGATTAACAATAGACAATCTTAAATATAATTTGTCCTTAAGCCGAATATCAAAACTATTTTCCTAATTAATAAGGAATTTTAATTTTTCACCATCTTCAAAAATCGTCCCGATTTTCAATATAAAGTCGCATAAGAAACTAAGACTCCAGTAACACTGTCCCCGAAATCAGAGAAGTATTAAGATTAGGGCAAGGATAATTTAGAAGGACGAGAACATTAACATAAATCTATTCCACCCTTTGAAACTCCGTAAGAACTAAACCCTTGAAGGCAGGTGCGACTAAAGCTGTATATTTGGCTGCCTGGTGAAATAAACACGCCGCGCGAAACGTGGGATTTTCGGACGACAAAAGATTTTCGACGAAATATTAATCGCATAGAGACGTTTAAGGTTAGTTCAAAGTCTGTAACATTCTCATCATTCAAGTTAAATAAAAACATAGTTTATATCAGACAAAGAACCTTAAATTAAGTATTATCCCTTATTAGTATTCTTAGCTGCTGCTGCAAAGCACTCTAAATGTCGGGATTATAAGTAAAAATACAATTTGCGTTTTGAACCGTTAAAACTTTGACACAATTTAAATTAGATAAAGTATCAATGTTATACAGAAAAAGGTCGGCATTTGCTATTTATACCATGATAGCGTAATATTTACTCCCTTTATAAGATAAATAATAAATTCAACACTCGTAGCAACAAATATATATTCTTCTTTTGTAATCCATACTGATGTAATTCAAAGATTATTCATGTTCATTTTATTCTATCTGTACAACTTCGTTCAAAGTGCGGTATTATAATTTATTTTTTTTGCAATCGTATGTCACGGTCATTCTATTTATATATATATAGAGTTACGCAAATGCGTATATTATTGTTGGTCTGTATTTCCTCACTGTATCTTCAAGATTCTTAGGCATGCAGCAGGGAGGGATACTTCTAGGGTCTACACTCTAAAGTCGAGACGTATCCCCCTATGGACTGTTGACAAAAACTGTGGGTTCTAAACACGTTAAGCAGTACTTACGTGTTAATTTGTTAGTATAACAAAAAAACTTAAGTTAGTAACTTAATAGAACAAATTTTATAGTATATTTACGTAAAACAATCCGTGTACCTACTATTTTGCAATTGTGGTAGATGAAATTAATATAAATAATATTATATATTGTCTGTAGTTTACGGGAGTCGAACACATTTACATAAAATACTTTAACGGATTAAAAAGCGATATATATTAGTTAAACTTATTGGAAAATTTAATCAAAGCATCCGAAAGGTCGGGCCGTAGTTAAAATAATTTTCAAATAAGTTTAACTAATATATGACGCGTTTTAAACCGTTATAGTGTTTTATTTCACTTAATTTAAACGGTATTTTTAATTCAATCACAAGTGTCCACTAAAACGAAGAATTGTTTCACTACTATGAACGAAACATCTCTCTATTCTCAGAGCTCTGGTCTCTAAGTAAATGCTTATTAATTTCCATCGGATTGCCAAAATCATCCTGTTTCCATGTTGCCTCCGTATCGTGGTTAAATATGCATGCAAATGGCCCAAGCACTGGGAATTGGCACGCTTGTGAAGAACTAAGTCGGTAATGTAATATGTTGTTCGCTAATATTTTAGTTTTAGCGTTGGTACTCGCAAAGCAATTTATCATGTTAGATGAAACATGAAAGATTACACGTGCTAGTCCTACATCGATTATATATTTTTTTACTTCTATGCGATATAATAATATATATTTTGAGGGATTTTTGTCGGGCCAGAATTAAAAGTGTGTCACTTAATTTTAAACAAGACATTAACATATTTATATATTTTGTAATTAGGGGCCATTCATTTAATATATTGGACGATTTGGGAGGAGGGAGGTCGGCAATGCCTTATGCTTTCTTACGAGGGGGTGGGAGTGTTTCTAAATAGGCCATACTTAAGATGACATATGCGGCTTGTTAAAAATATCATTATTTTGAGTAGGCTTTGAGTCCATGGACTGAAAATTTAAGAATTTAAGATAAATAATGAAAAATTTTAAGTACAAATAGACATTACTAAAAATTTGTTACTTAGAAAATATGTTTTTTTTTCTTGAGATTCTTACGTTATAAATATTTAACAGGGAGAGGGGGTCGGCCTATTCTTATAATAGACTCAGTGCGCGTAAAACCTTAACAACAACAAACGAATCGTCAAACTCCTTGTACGTAGTTGTAGAATCAACCGAACTGTAAACAAATGGAAGGAACACAGAACAATAATAATAATTGGTTGTTTTTCAAGATGTCAAGCGATGACGTCAACGCGGCCGCGCATTACTTTAGAGATAACGCAAAGGTAGACAATTTACGATTATTGGTGCGCAAGACTCTGTGATAAAACCATGTTACTAACATTCTCGAGAGCTGAGTAGAACTGCGTACGTGTGAATTAAAAATCTAGATATATATGTAGACTAAAAAACTGGTGCTCTACCCCATTGAACTATCGTGTCCCCCATTGAACTGCAGCAGCACGGAACTCTGTGGATGCGGGTTGAAGTCCCGCCCGTGGCGTAAAATTCAATCTTTATAGATTTCGAATTTACAAAAAATGCATGTGAACAATATTAAAGGTTTCAAATATAGTCGAAGATCAAAATAGGTTCACAAATGATGATGATGACAATGATGATCTAACATGGTTATACATTTCACCTTCCATCGAGTGAAAAACATGGGGTTAGCATAATTTCGATTTTTTTTTATCTTTCTACAAACAAAGCCTCAAAGATTTAATATAAAGATATTCTAGTTAGTTATTTATCTCAGTTTCTTGTTACCGAATTCATCACGAGTAATAATAATACAAACATTTATTTATATCGATTTCAGCGTCGCGAACTGAGTACAGAACTAAACTTTACTTAGGCACCCGTAACTCCACGACTTGAAAGATAATGACATTTTGTACTCCAACATTTTCAATTACAAACAAATTGCTTTCATTAATAAACTTAGAGCTTTCAATTAAGACCCGATAAATTTTAAATTCCAAGTGCTATTTAAATAACTCAATATTGTGTTACAAGTATGAATCTATTTATTTCAGATCTTAAGTTATACAATATCCTAAATAGGTAGGCAGCGCATTTTGTTTAGATTTTATGTGGCTCAAGTAAATTTACCATCTAGCCCTATGCTCCTTTGTCCTCCCTCTATCATTAATATCCTATATTATATATTAAACAAATAAACAACATACAATAAAGCAACGAAATTTAAATTATTTCGAGATTATTCGTCACTTAAAACACAATTTCAACTGAATACGCGCCAAGATAACATTTCATAAAACATCCAGTGTTATCTAAATTATGAGCCGACTGGAGGAACCGTGGTGTCAAAAGGTCTTTGCAGAGTAATTAATTTATAACAGACGTGGTCTACGATTTGAAAAATACTTAACAATATAATGGGCTCGTCGGCTCGTCTAATAGCAATGCATGGCTAATAATCAACGAGTCGTGGGTCCGATTCCCACCGGGGCTAACACATGCCTAAATAAATCCGAAAATAATAAATTTATTACTTTCGGATACTTATTAAACTTTCTCCAAAAAAACGTGACATTAAATCGGCAGGTAAGCTCGTGTTTTTCGTACGTGCGTAACATACCTTGTAAGTTATATATGACAAAGCGTGCCCCATTAACTAATACCTTTATTTAAAATAAATATTAAATGTATTTCGACGACGATGAGGTGTAGGACTCGGTAGCTCAATTGGTAGAGCAACAGCACGGAAAGCTGACGATGCCGGTTCAAGTCCTGCCCGAGTCGAAAATTTTTTCAATTTATTTTCGATTTTTAAATTATATAGTGCCTTCATGTGCAATAACATGTGAAAAAT